TATATAGTCCCCTTTTATTGGAAGATTGTTATTATTATTATTATTATTTTTCTCATAAAATTTCGCTGTCAATTTCCTCCCTCTTTCCTTTAATTTTGAAATGTTCTCGGGATTATTTTATTATTTATTTATTATTTTGTTGTCATTTCTTTATTTTTTATTATTTTATTAATAATAATTTTATGTACTTGCTTATTTCTTTAGTCGAAAGGCTTTCTTGGAAATTCGCTAAGTTTTTTTTGCATTTTTTTATTGTTATATTGTTTATATTGTTTACATTTTTCATCATTTCTTTGTGTTTTTCATCATCACTCATTAAATTTTTTCTATATAATTGTTCCACTGATCATTTTGTCCTAAGCTGCATAAATAAAATCAATAGATACAAGCTATTTATCATATTAAAGCTTGGAAAATCCTATATACAGGAGGAAGGTCTTGTATATTTAGGATCACCCTTAAAGCTTCGTTGATCATAGTTATCAATTCGTCAACTTCAAAAGAGTAGATGGTACTCACATTGTATCAGATCTTTGAAGTCTGCATATGTAGCCATCCAGAGCATCCATTATAGTAAGCTTACAACTATCATTGCAAAATATGGTGAGCTCTGATATTGAGCACCATCATATTTTCAGAAATACACAGTGAGTCTCGGTATAACGGATATGTTTGTTCCAGGAAATTTATCCGCTATACCGAGTCATCCATTAAAAAAATCATATTATTCTTTAAAAACAATGCGTGATTGATTCAATCATTAACACCAAAGGAACAAAATTAATTATTTCGAAATAAAAGCTATTTGTTTGTTTATTTATTAATGTATGTTTTCTATTCGTAATACAATATTACTTTATATTCGCTTTATTTGTTTTATTTGTTTATTTGTTTTATTTGTTTTATTTGTTTATTCGCTCAAATTATTTGAATTACTTGAATTATTTTTTACTCAAATTATTCCTTTTATTCGAATAGAAACCTTATCTACTTACTACTCAAGGTTATGATATTGTTTTTAGTATTGCAATTAAGAAAGCTCACAAAGAGCTTTATTGTTTTACAATCTTTAGACGATTTAAGAAGGGGTATTTCTTTCTTGTAGTAATGGTAATAATAATATTATTTAATTCCACCACCACCACTACCAAAAATTCGTTGTCCGTTGTAATTATTATATTAATAACGTTTTTTATATTCATTTTATCATGTATTTATTAACATTACTTGTTAAATATTTGGTCAGCACTAGGTAAATATCGAAAAAAGACGATAGCCACCGGATCCGTTGTCTTTAGTCGATAAAAGTATCTTGAACACAAGAGTTATCTTTAGTTGATAAAGTTGTCTCAAAATCGCTTTACCCTACAAAAAGTGTCCAAGTCTAGAAAATTAGTTTATAATTAATTAATCCGAATGTATATCAATATAATAATAAACAATTTGAATCTCATGTATTTTAAAGATACCTTTTTCTTGAACAAAGAAAATAACCATATTAAATAAAACCTAAAAGTCATTCACTGGTAAAGCTTATTCACTCAATTTATTTTATTGCGATCAATTATTTCGCTTTCCCGTCTAATAACAATAACAACAGTAATAACTATCTCTTAAACGGTCAGAGTATTCTTTAATGGGAACACAAAGTTAACGATCAGCAAAGTAAAAACAGTCAATCGACCAACTTTTAAAGAAGATTTTACAAAAACCACAAGTACAACAACTGGATTTTTATTTATAGAAAAAAATTTTTTTATCAATAAGTTGGGACGCTCTAGGAAAATCGGTTTCGAGACTTTTTGATCAAAAAAATTTTTTTACTTGGTTACAAAAATAAATTCTTGAGGCAACAAAATTTTCTTTGAATCGAATTTAAAAAATGATCTACAAACTCAAAATAATTTAATAAATTTAATAGTCACGGATTAAATTACTTAAATATTAAGAAAATGGAGTGAAAATTTTGGCCGACTTATTGAGTAAACCGACTTATCGAGTGACCGACTTATCGAGTTTACATATGTACTAATTCATAATTTTTATTATAACTTTAACCTTTCTATAAAATATAAATTTTAAAAGGAAAATGGATACATGCCTTATTATTATTAATCAATATCGTAGTTATCCACAAAAAATATCCGCAATCGCCAAATCGATTTCTAAATAAGGATAACATGCACCCAACCCAACCAATAAAATTGGATATTCTCATGATGCTGCGCAAAATTGCGGATATTTTTGCGGAAAAATACATGATTATAATCGTTTTCACAAAAAAAAAATTTTTTTTATATATTACTACGAGTCGATCATTCAAATTTATTTTATTGCAAATTATTTTGCTCGCGACCAATAATTATAATAATTGGATTTTTATTTTTATAAACATCAATAAATACGAATCAATAAAA